CGATACTCACTGACGATGCCGACTACGATGCCGGCGAAACGTCTGGGAATGTACCAGGTCCACGGTCCTATTCTGGAAACGATGATGCGTACAATGGACTCAGGACTAGGTGCGTTTCTTTAAGTCTTCCTACCAATGTGACCGAGTTGCGAAAACAAGGTCAAACAACTTCTAACATATACTTGCTTCCCCAAACATATTCTCATTCAGAATGGACAGCAATTTCGACCTCGCCTAGGCATCGCCTGGATAGTGTCTAAAATCTACACCAATAAGAGGAAAACAAATAATGTAGTAAATTATGCCAGCTTCATCAGCAACCTCATCACATAAGTGTGATATGAAAAAAATCTGGCCTTTTTGAAATTGGCTTCTGTCCTGTGACAACAAAACAAAATGGCGTAATGGTTAATGAGTCGAGACTATACGCCGAGCTACCATGGTTCTGTTCCCGTCCGAGGTGTTTATCAGACCTGTGGTCCATCCTGGCCAAGAATACCTTTTGGGAAGCAAAGCATTGTAAAATCATATGCAAAAATCAGGCCTAATTATAGGATTGTGGAAAGGTTAACTCTCAGTCCCTTATCATCTTAATCGAAATAGAGTGAATATATCTCTTCTATACGAACTAGTGGTAGTCTCGAAAATCTATTTATAAACAGGTAATTGCAATCTATTTGCCGTAGTATTCTTCGTTTAAAGGAAAGACATCTCCAAGTGAAATTATCCATTATAAAAAATTAATCGCATTTACCAATATGCAGTTTGATTAAACTCATTAGTCTCCGAAGTAATAAAATTTCGCAATATTTCTAATCGGTTTCCTTGCTGTTGTTGGCTTGCATTAGATCTTAAGGTGATTGAATTCAGTTAACCAGACTGTAAATCAATCGAATGAATAAAATGCACACTGGATCCTCTCGATTCTAGCAACTATCCCTAGGGTGTTACAGTCATGCCCTCTTTTTCTGCGATGATTCTTGTTAAGGATCTTATGAAACTATTTTATAATTAATGTATTAGAGTGTACAGCTAAACAGCAAACTTACCCTCTTGTAGGTGCGTTATTTGGGTTACAAAGTCTTACCACATTCAAAAAGCTTTTGTGATAATGCAATATAAATAGCCCCATTTTTCCCCCAGCCACATCCAGATTGAGGCTTTTGGGGGTAAATTCACTTTTTGTTTAGAAGGAATTCAAATGGCCAATGGGTAGACATATGGCTATAAAAATCTCATCTAGAACTGCATAATTCAAGTAGAATAGGAGTTTCATCACGAAAATTCAGTGTTGGTTGAGAAATTTCGGCTAATTCATTGAGCTTCTACTGTCCTGAACTTAAAT